AAGGTGGCCAAGCTAAGACCTGGCACGAGGGTATAAAAACCCTGACCAGGGGACTAGGTCACATAGGTCCTGTTAGGCTCCCTGGCTGGGGACCTCGAGAAGATCGTACCCGATGGTTAGAGACACTGATTGATATGCCTAGGTGTCGTAAGCAGTGGCGTTCTTGCATCTCAATTTCTCTACAGCTATAGTTGATTGGAGTTCTCAATTCTCTTATCGACTCTACCTTCGACTTCCCCGTTCTTCTTCTATTATTCATCCAAATGGGCAGCCAAAACCGGCGCACGAAAGTGCATGGTTAATGGTTGTTCAAACCGAAACTTAACTGAACTTTTTTGTTACAACTAAGGGTGTTGTACGTAGCCGATTAGGGTGGGGAAAAAGTTCAGTTTACGACCGGGCTGAAAACCTTAAATCAGCCGAGAGACACAAAGTCCAAATTTGAATTTATCACCAGCATTTCACAAATGTTTCGATTAGACCGTCATTCTCTTTGTTCTCTTTATTAAAAGAAACGCTTCCAGGAAGGAACACATCAATGTACCTGTAACGGACTGTCGTCCAGTGTTTGAGTGACTCGTAGATACGAACCCCAGGTCCGATTCCAGATAACGAGAAGTCGGTAATCTACGTGTACTATAAGTAGACAAATATGTACAAAAACAAACACCATACCTCAAATTGTGGGCCAATCGGGTCTCCACGGTACAAGAACGAAATGCAATGCAGGTCAAGGCGCAGAACAAAGCACCTGTGGAGCGGTCACCAAAAGGAATGCAAACTCGGCTTAGAAAAGGGATGATTTAAAGGATAGAAACACCAATCGCAAGTGCTCGATAAAGAAGCGCAGTCATTGGTCAATGCAAGACACACAAACGGAACAAAGCAGCCCGCTAAGCAAGTGAAGCGAATAATCGAATATGAAGGTCAATATAAAGAGGATGGGATGACAATGTACTAGAACGAAAACGTGGGTGGGGGAACGGATCCAGGGTAGTTCGTATGTAATGACGCTCGGAAATGGCAAGCGTGGGACAAAGAGAGAGTTCAAGGGCGATAAGGGTGGAGGACGCACAAATGGGACCAGGAACGCTTAGAGGCGGTATGAGAACAATAACAACAACGTATAAAGTATGTCGTCGGACCACCAAATCGAACCATGATGATGGGCAAAGGTCAGGGGTCATCTGCTTAATGGGTCACATGAGTGCACAGTTAATCGAACCGAACGGGAGCAAAACAGGTGTGATAAATTTTTCCAATCAAGTCAATACAGTACCGATAACTGACAGGGTCGGAGTGTTTATTTTCTTGAGTGTACAGCCGTGCATAGTCAAGGAATTTCACACTCGACAATGTTTCTGTTTTATGTGTTCAACCGATAGACATTTCATTGGATCCCACCAGCTAAATCTATTTACGGATGAAATCCCGAAAAGACAACAATCACGCACTGGCGACAATTCTCAACAAGGATAATAGATATACCCATCAACAAGTACAGTATTCCGTTCACTCGCTTGTTCAGTTTGGCCATTCCCTTGTAAATATCTGATCACACCAATACGGCCAAACTGGACTACTTGCTAAGGCACAGAGACAGCCCATGCCGATGATCAATCCATTAGGATTTTACTGAACTCCAACAAATCCAACAGATCGCAGACCAGATTCTCACGTCCGCATGTGGCTCACGTCACCCTATTTGATAACTGAAAAACATGCTCCAAAACGGTCTGTTATTCAGTCATGACTGCTCAAGTACATGAAGGGTTTCGAAAGATTCGAGCACGTCTGTCGCATCAATTTGCAAATAATCATGCTGGGGCGGATGCTTATTTATGCTCGTGGAGATAACTCTCAAACAATCCACATCCTGGATACGTGAGCATCGAACTAGCTGTATAGTCAGCAAATTTGGTTCGAACGTGGCGTGTTCGCATTCCACAACAGCAACCTAACTTCCTCAAATGTTTATGTACCCTGACAGCTTTCAACTCCCAGAAAATGGATTGCATGGCTATTTTATCATAAAAATAAGCATAATTTAGTTGGAGAGGGCATTTCTACCACTTGCGTTTTTACTCGATCGGATGTGTTCAACCTACCAGAAAATAAATCACTTCGTAATTCCGTGTCATTTATTAAACCTCTAATTATATCAGCAAATTGGAAAACATCGAACATCATACAAAAATTTTTTTCGCTTGAAGCCTCTGTTCTTCGCGGAGAATACCGGAAAAAAGATTTGCATGTCCGTTTTTTGCTTGCCTGGAGCCAGAGAGAGACGAAAACATCTTTCTTCTCAGGATAAAAATACAACAGTGGTTGATGACAAATAGTATATATATGAATAGAGAAGCCAAAAACACAGGTTTGCACAATGTATCCTGGATCATTTCGCTGTATCTGTACACGTGTGTACTGCAGTCTATGTGATCATTAATATATGGTCAGTAAAAACCGGAATCATAGTGCTCAGATGCAGCGAAATGATCCAGGATACATGGTGCAAACTTGTTTTTGGCCTCTCTATTCAAATTCGTTAAGGAAAACTATGCTTCCAAATAGTATATATGCCCAAAATTAGAGAATTGGTCAGAAATGCAATGCAAACCCAGCGAGGAACCCTCACCCCGCAATAACTGGCGACCTCAGTGGTTGACCGATAGGCAATAACCAAACTGACGACGGACGATGCTACCGCTGAACTGATGGAAGTGCGTAAATAGTCCGGACATTCATGGAGACCTACCTAGTATGACTACGACATATCGAAACCAGGTTCTTCAACCAAATGTTCTGATGTGAAGCACTTTGACGTATAACCAGTACGTTGTACTTAATCTAGGCTATGATATATATATATATACCAAGAGAGAATGGAGGCGTATGCTGTGTTGTAAGATGTTTATTGTAACGCTTCGATTCAAACTAGGACTCGTTGTCAGAAGTAATGGGATTACCGTCTTTGTGTGTGCCTGTGTGCTGTTTGTACGTCCATCAGTCCACCAATCGTCATGGGTTTTGCGAGTGCGACGGAATGTTTGTCTATCTCTATGAATCGGTTGAACGAATTGACCGAGTGTAGAGCTTCGAGGATTAATTGTTCCCCCGTCATCTTACTTCGTGCCGCCACCTTTGTGCTATCAATCGCGATCTCGTGAACTGACCGTGAGTAGTAGTTCCAGATTTGTGACCTCGGGTTGGCGTGTCGGAGGGCAAACTTGTGTTCGTGTAGGCGCGTGCGTAGTTGTTTGCCTGTCTCACCTATTGTTGGCTGCAGTCCAGACACGGGATTGTATAGATTAGTCCTGATCGTTCGTGCTGTTTGACTCGATCCTTGCAGTAAAAAAAGAAATGATCTCACGGTTTTCTTTTCTTTTTCATTTTTACTTCCTTTTATTGAATGCACAAAGATACAATTTTCAGGAAGGGGGAAACGGTCAATCAAAAGGCTGCCATACAACACACAACTGCTGGTTTACGGGCTATCTTAATTCTCAGCGGTTGGAGTGTTCATTCGGTGGCTTCTGACGTGCCGCGTATGTAGGGTAACGTTATCCAAATTCCTTCTTTTGTATGTGTTGTTTGTTTATTATCTCAGAGGTACGCGTTGATAAAATTCTTGGGATATGCGTTTGATGAGAACAGTTGAAAGAGTTGACTTCTTTCTCTTGTCCTTCTTCGAAGAAACTGTAGAACGGTGAATCACATGGAAGCGCAGTTAGGGATCCATAGTCATCCATAGTCAACAAACTCGACAGAAAGATTAGTAAGCTAAAAGATCGACCTGGAAACGGAAAACCAGTTAAGTGAAAGAGCTAGGAACCCGTACGGGAATGTTTCGGTTGGTTTTATGGCGGCCGTGATGGTGGCCCGGTGGGAACGTCACCAAAAACAAAAGGTGTTAAGTCAACTTTCGATAATACAACGCGAAAACACTGATATCTCAAACAAACATCGTGCGCTTCTGATTCGCGGTAAAAAGCACACACATTTGTCGTATCATAAAAAGTGGAGATAAAATGGCATTCAAGATCCGGATGGGGAAGCGCAGCAGATAAAAGATTCGGATGAAAACAGAAATTAGAGAAAAACCGGAGATTGATGTCAAATCAGCTGTGCACACCCGCGATAAGAATGAAGAGATAGGACAGCGAGGAGAGGGTGGAGATCATCGAAACTCCAAAAAATCACGATGAGCATAAAGTAAAACCGGTATGTTAAACGGGGACTGTGAAGGGGCACGGGAGAAGCAATAGTGGGATTGTCGAAAACAAGACAGCAAGTAAGACAAGCCTATGTGTATGTTGACGAGTACCAGGAAGAACTGAGAGAATCCCGCTCACGGCGCCTGTTATTATGACGACGTACGCACAGACCCACAGTCACGCCAACTAAACAGAGGAGGAACAGGAGGATACAGACTGCCGCGACATAAACCGTATAGGTTGAGCGTTGTGAAGAGACACAGGAAAATGGCGTGGGAGATCGCAGGAACTTTAACGGATCGGGCACATACGGTCGCTGTTCTACTTGACATTCGGAAAAGAACTGATCAGGATCCAGTAGCAACGGGGCCAGATAGTTGAGGACATCATCCAGTGGACAACCGCGGTCGGCCGGCTGTTCAGTGCAAGCGCCGAACTGTAAATAGGTTCCCTCATTATCCAGGTAACCTTTTTTGTACACAAGACGTAAACGATACTCGCTGCGAGGAGCTGGTGGTTCTGGGCCAAGCAATTCAATCACAACAGCCGCCGAGTACGGGATGAGTTGCTGATCATAGGCGCCGAAAGCCGCCAACAGATAAGTGACATCGGTATCATGAGCGGAGTAGGCCATCAGATGTCGTATGGACACTTGAGATGTGCGTTGCAGCAAGTTCTTCGAACCGTTCACAATGGCCAGTAAATGGTCCTTGAGAACTTTTAAAAACACTCCGACTTCTAGTCGAACAACTGCACTGGTGGAAGCATACAGTTGCTATGCAAGTAAAATATGGCGGAGAAAAGTAGGGTAAACATCCTTGGGTACATGAACCGTTGGGAACATCTTATAACCAGTAGTAAAAAAATACTGTGAATTCAGGGGGTGAACGTTATTTACTTGTGAAAGTGCGTTTTACAGGGAACGAGGAATAACTGAAGCGTTGATGTTTTGAGTAGCGAAAAACGGTGTTATATTAATAAACACATGACTATTGCGAAAATGTTAATGTATAGCGTGTTAAATGTAATATCAAATAAGCAAACGAACGACGATACCTCCCATGACCTTCACGTTTATAGAGCTTGGTGAGTAAATCGTAGACCAGCGAAGCAGTCATTCCTGGTCCCTATCTTAGTTCCGAGGTGCATAATGATAGCTCGGCCATGACAAGAGCATTGTTCTCACTTGGAACTACTTTTTATTCTCGGGATGAGTTCTCAGTGGTAACTGAAAATCGTGAATACTGATCGAAAATGCGTGGTGCTATGAACTCCGAGGTTTTTCGACTATCCCAACGGTGAGTGCTGATCCAAAAATATATATCTTGAGTAGATCACGCCTCGCTTACAGAATGCGCATGTCAGTGACTAAGTGAAGTTATTTTGTGACTATTCTCCACTCAGTGTGTAATTTTGTCCTGTTTATTAAACACGTACGGGGATGATAGAAGTACATCATTTCACTGTTTTGCAGTATGATATGGCGACCTGGAGACCTTGACATAGCGCCTGTACATGTTCATCCGTGTGATGAGAGGTCTTATGGTGCTAGTCTCAGTCTTGGCCATGAATGTATCTGCGAGTAGTGGACCAAGCGGAGACCCCATTGCTATGCCAACCTTCTGTCTAGAAATGGTACAATCGAACTGGAGTTGTACGTTCTCCAATAACAATGTCAAACTAGGCAAACCAGTCCATGGCTGTAAAGAACTGCTTACGTTTTGCACCACGAACGCACAAATCTAGTTCGATGGTACCGTTTATAAACAGAAGGATGGCATAGCAATGGGGTCTCCGCTTGGTTCACTACTCGCAGATATATTCATGGCCAAGACTGAGACTAGCACCCTAAGACCTATCATCATACGGATGAACATGTACAGGCGCTATGTCGATGATATCATCTGTTTGGTACCTTCACATATTGATGTGGACGAGATCCTGAGAACGTTCAATGAAACTCATCCGAATCTCCACTTCACCATGGAGCTAGAGAATGCTGATACACTACCGTTTCGGGATATTATTCTACAAAGAAAAATAGGGGGAGGAATCGAGAGAAGTGTATATCACAAGCCTATGTGGAACGGGCAATACACGCATTTTCAGAGCTTCGTACCAATGCAACAGAAACGAAATTTGGTGCGTTGTATGGTCCATAGAGCCAGACGAATCTGCTCCGCCAACAAGCTTCCAAATGAACTGCTTCTGATAGGCAACACGTTAAGGGAAAACGGCTATCCAGAAAGCTTCATCAAAAGACACACTGCAACTGATCCTCAGCCCTGACATTCTACGGTCCCTAAGAAAAGGAATTATGCAACAATTAACTTCAAGGAGGATATGCTAGCCGAAACACTAACTCGTCAATTATGCCACGTCATTGAAAGAACTTACTTTGTTGCTAAACTCTGTCTCTCCTTTACTGCGAAGCCTATGCTGCAGTTACAACTCAAAGACAAGCTGCCTAGTCAGTTTACCTCATTCTGTGTGTACTCTTATTCGTGCTCCTGCGGAGCGGAATACGTAGGAACGACCACTAGGCGATTGTCCGAGAGGACCCAAGAACACTGTCCAGCTTGGCTATCAAAAGGGATCAGTGAAATTGCGACTAGTGCCATCTTAGCCCACGCACTCGACACGGGTCACGAACTGACACGCAATGGGGTGGTCAAGGTCATCTACCGGGTAGCATATAACCGATCAAAAGGGGTGAAACTAAGAGTTCTGTGCACAGCCGAAGCGATCGCGATTAGGCTAAGCTAACCAATACTGTGTTCGCAAAAAACAATTTGTCAAGACCCTACTGCTGCCGTGGCCTAAGGCCAGTAAGATCGTGAAACAGACACATCAGTTTGACTTATCCTAGACTGGTTCATCCGGACACAGTCCTCAACATCAATCACAATAACTGTATGAGTACTTACACCACGGATTATCACGCTGTTGTGTCTATACATGTTCGATTGTGTGTACTATATTGGCCTGATGAGAAGTACCGAAAAAACATCTGTCTTATTCGATCCATCTGTCTTAGCCACTTTCAGACTTCTCTGAGAGAACAATGGGAATATTTTGTGATCTAAAATTGTCCGAGAACCCAAGTCCTCACCGGGCTGTCTGGTTTTGCGAGGAATACAACGCAAAAGGTGATGTAGAATTGAGGGTCAATAAAAGAGCATTCAGGATATGGATTCAACAAGAACCGATGTCATCTCAAAATTTAAAGAATCTATGTCGTAAATGATACTTCCGCTTAAACAACCATGAACTATGCACTTTCGTGCGGCAGCTTGCTGCTTTTGGCTGTCCGTTTGGATGAAGTGGTAGAGGCAAGAATGGAATGTTGAAAACAGTATGAAGGTGAAAACAGAAAGTTCATGAACACTAAATGGATGCACGAGCTCTGCTGTTTATGACAGTCAACCAAACCAATCAGTGACTGACCAGTAACTATTAATGTAACAAACGTTCCTTCGATTTGTGGTGAGTGACGTAAAGTACCCATGGAATACGTGGATGAGTTTTGGGGTAGATTAGCTGGTGAGAAGCACACACATGGAGACAAAGATATATCCAAAGTTGATGAACTGCTGGAACGGAATCGCATCGCACTTTGCGGTGAACAATATGGGAGAACCCTCATTGTCCACGTGGGATCAAGTCGGAACCTACATTTCATTTACAGAAATTCTAGGAATGCTCGAATGACCACACTGATCTGGCCCAAGCAGAGACGCGAAAAGAGAACGGACCCTAAAATTTACGACCTTTTAACTAATAAATCAATGAACGAACAAATCTTTTTCTCTTCAATTTATTCTTTCTCGCATAGATTAAACTAGAGCTCGTTTAAGATTGGACTTTACACAACACAGTTTGAATAAAATGGAGGTATACAATCGACCTAATCATTCCGTCTATATGTAAGACAGAGGGAGTGAGCAAATCATCGGTTAGTCATTCGGTTGGACCAATTGTCATACTCAAAATCGGTTTCTGGGGTCCGGAAAGCGACTCATCTTCAATGGATGCCGAGCGATAAGTGAGGGTTGTTTGTTCGAATTATGTTTTGCCAGAATAGTTTTATGTTTAAATTGTGAAAAATGCATTAGGCTCGGTGAGATTTGAACCGAAGCGTTGGAGGTATTTATGCGGGGGTTCGAATCTCACAGAGGTTAATGAACGTCCTTACTATTCAAATATAGGTCGTGTTTAGTGCTCTTCGGTGAATTGGTGAGTGATGCGAACGTAGTCAAATTAGGGAATGATGATTCTTGATCCCGTGACATTTGCTATAACCAGCGCTGGTCAACACCAGTCCTTTTGTGCCCTGAGTGCAACAATAAGCGCAGGTCAGCGGATGTGTTAGCATTCCCCTGAAATTCGTTTGTGATAAATAAGATATATGATTCAATGGTTAAGTTCTTTCAGTACGACAGGGTCTTTGGCTTATTTCAAATGTCCTAAACAGTCCCACGGAGCACATAATAAGAACACAAATTGTCAAACAAGCTCCCTGGGACTGGTTAAACATTTGAAACATGCCAAAGACCCCATCGTACAACAATAACTTAAAGATCATATCAAGGTCCGTACGAAGCTGGCGTTGGCCAATACTCGAAAATAAGAAACTGTACATGAAACGCTACTAACCCCACCGTTTCCCGGCAATTTATCGATAACCAAAGCATTTGATATATTTACTTTCCGGATGATAATGATACAACCCATTAGCGTATAAAGAAACCGAATGGATTGCGATTGTGTTAAACTGCTTTATCCTAGGAAATGTGTTCCCGGGGTATGAAACGCTATCTAAACTACTCCGAGTGCTGTGACTTTGGTGCACTGAGTAGCTCGCCGTGCAAGTTGAAGGAGCCTGTTGCGTCAAATATGTGAAGCGATGTTTAGTTACACAACACTGAATGATCACACGTGGTGGGTGAACGTTGATCACGAGGGTCAGGAGTCGTGGTTTGAATTCATGAAACTGACCGTGGTGGAAACAGAAAAATAACAGGTGGTTCAAGGCTAGGAGAACTAGAACACTGAAAAACGTTCGCCTAAGAAAACTCGAAAACTAGCATTCGCAAGATTGTTGGAAAAACGCGTCGCAGGTTGTTCGCAACTATTTGGGCGACCCACAATGGTATACCTCAAAGCTAAGTGGAATGTGATGAGTGATTCCACCGAAGCGATATGCCAACACCATAATGATTCACATGTGTAGTGACAGTATCAACCCTCTCTGCACATATACGTTTTCCATATTCGGACCTGGTTGTTTTACCGGACCAAGACAACCTAGGTGGTCACGGTAAGTTGAATTTCACTTTGTGCACGCTTCTCTCTCTCTCTGAGCTACAGATCATTGCAACCCAACTGTTTTTGAGGTTTCGTAATACCAGTCGTTTCCTCTTTGGTTCGTTCCTTCGTTCGTTGCTCCAAATTATTTGTGTACATGATTAGTCTAGACACTAAACATGCAAGCGAAATCCGGAATAGCCTTGAATAGGTTCACCTCGACTTCCTTGATGCAAATATTAGACCGATCCATTACGTTTCACTTTTGACGATCGGCCAAGCAATTGCAAACAGTGGGGATAGGATTGCGACATGTATGGCATGCTCTTTTTTATGTTCAAGACATTCCTAACAGAAGTCATCGTATGGCAAAGACGGCTCAAGTGATGAAGTACTATCTGCGATAATAAGAAAACCATTGACACAATTAATTAGTATGTTTCTTACACGTTCCAAATGGAAAGGTTGTGTAGTTGGCAACAGTCTCTCTGTAGCCCGAGAGGTGAATGGAAAAACAATACGAGGGTTGTATTAAAG